GACTGGCGCTCGCGTTGCTGGCCGTGTTGCCAGAAAATAATTTTCGGTCAAACTTACGCGTTTAAAATGGGCAGGGGTATGCCCGAGAGAGATGTGCTGGTAAAATCCGCTTTAAACATTTAACTTTGGCTGCAGCATCCCACCATAATCCTTGTCATATACTAATGTACATAGCAATAGCGCTGTCGTTGCTGGTCGCCGTTCCCAACCATGATAATTTTATTCGGCCGATCTTACGTGCTCAAAATGGGCAGGGGCATGCCCGCGAGTCATGTGCATGGACAAATCCGATGTAAACATTTTACTTCAGCCCCAGCATCCCGCTACACCCCTACTTTCCACTACTACCCCGTACCCAGTTCCCGTTTGCTAAAATACATGAGTAATGGCACGCGGATCGCTCATCTATGCATATATGCTGCAGCATATTTTAGAAAGCAAAGATGGCAACCATATGTTTGAGACTTAATAATAGATAAATTTATCACTAGGGTTTCTGAACTAATGAATATATGAATAGATAATATGAATAGATTAGAAACTAAACAATAGCTACTTAAACTAGAATCTAAACAGTAGATTGGCGATTGCAGCGAGACCTCCAATTGATGACACGTTGACGACGATGCCTCCATCGAAACCGTGACATTTTCCCATGTACTTCAGCGCCAGCATGGTTCCCGTGATGACGGCAGTCTGCAGAACATGACATATACACCGTAACCCTTCCCGTAAATATCTTGTAGACGTGTGGCAGGTAGTCCCACGTTGATCAGCATGAGGCATCATGTTGACCATCACATGGTTCCACGTTGACCACCAATGGCGCCACGTTGACCAATAGGGACACCAAAATTACTACCAGCTAGGTGGCACCACGTTGACCAACAGGTGGCACCACACTGCCTCAACTCTTACTCTACTCATCGGCAGCAAACCAACGAAGGAGTTGATACAGAGGTCGCCCTGTTTTGCTATGTAAAAATTGTTGTTTGTGTTCGCATGGAGGACAACAGACGGAAAAATCAAGAACCAATGAGCAAGAATATTACTATAGTCTAGATCGGGCCGCCTTGCAATAACACCCAAACACCCACCCACCCATACATATACTCTTTGGAGCTCGGCTATACATCATAACAACTATTGCGTTAAATTCGGGGGTGGTGACGTCATCACTATGTTGGTGACGTCATCGGGGCTATGACGTATACCAGGTTGACGTCGACCATGCGTCTGTAGTTCACGAGGTCGACGATGGCGGCGTTGTTGATGACGATGTCGAGGCGGCCATATTGATCCTTCGTCTTCACGAACGCGGCTGAAGAGATACGATACCCTATACGATACGATATGTACTGATACAGACCCGATCCCGCGTATTATTGATTAAATTGTTATTATTAAATTATTAAAAAGTATATAGATGTTATTTTATATCATTAAAATTACTAAGTTAAATCGGGATCTGAAATCCGTTTTATTTACCGCGACTAATTCCTGATCATAGCGGTACCCTGACCCCTTGATTTCATTTCTTAACCCGGCGTGCAACCTAATCCTAACCCTAGCCGTTATCATCAACCAAACACTTACAAGAACACGCACACGCGAACGCGGACGAGCGCATGAACACGAACACATGCACGCATGTGGACACACGCATGCACGCACGCACGCATGCGCGCACGCATATACAAACGGACGCATACACACGCGGGCACGCACAGGCCTACGCACGTACGCATACACACACATGCACGCACGCACGCATGCGCGCACGCACACATACACACCCACACACGCGTGCACGATTCGTACCTTCGAACTGGTCGTCTGCGGTAACGTCGGTGTTGACGTATATCGCTCTGTTCTCTCCGTGTTTCGCGCACAGCTCTGACGCCGTACCTTGACCTTCCGCTGTCCGATTGTCAACAATGCAGACGCCCTACACGTGATAACACATGAATCGCTACCGACCGCTAGAGTGTGCGTTTGTGGGGTGGATATACGAATATGGATTTCTATACTCGAGTACGCCGTACGTACAGGGGCGGATCCAGGATTTTTGAAAAGGGGGTGTCCAGGAAGAAATAAAGGGCACTTTTTCCTGCTTACTTTTTCTGGTGTTTTAAAAAGCTGCCGAAGGCCACATAGGGGGGGGTTGGGGGACCTCCCCCCAGATTTTTTTTTTAATTGGTGCGTTCTGAGAGCATCTGAGCAGTAATTTTGATGTCTAGAATGCAAAAATTAATCAGATCCGGTCCCCCGGACGCCTGCAGACCCCNAGACACACGCATGCACGCACGCACGCATGCGCGCACGCATATATACAAACGGACGCATACACACGCGGGCACGCACAGACCTACGCACGTACGCATACACACACATGCACGCACGCACGCATGCGCGCACGCACACATACACACCCACGCACGCGTGCACGATTCGTACCTTCGAACTGGTCGTCTGCGGTAACGTCGGTGTTGACGTATATCGCTCTGTTCTCTCCGTGTTTCGCGCACAGCTCTGACGCCGTACCTTGACCTTCCGCCGTCCGATTGTCAACAATGCAGACGCCCTACACGTGAAAACACATGAATCGCGACCGACCGCTAGAGTGTGCGTTTGTGAGGTGGATATACGAATATGGATTTCTATACTCGAGTACGCCGTACGTACGACCAACAACCTCGCAGCGTTGGCGAGTAGGTTAATGATAAGCGAACCTTGTTACAGATCTCAAACTATGGCGCTTTATAATCCACGATCTGGTGAACCAAACAAAAATCTTTAACCACGTTACAGAAATCCGAGCGTCACAGTTCCGGCGGCTCTTATATGTTTCACGAACGGAACCGGGACGATACGATGACAAGGATAGAAACAGAAAGAATTAAAAGACCACGAGGAAAAGCCAGAAGAGAAGCTAGTAGTACATTAAAGTAAATACATAGTAAACGCTAAAGGGCCATATAGACTACTCCAAAGCCGCCGCATGGCTGGTATTTGATTTGACACAAGGACTATATAGGAACCAATCAAACACTATACCGTCATGCTTGGTGCTTGTTTGTGAGGGCGGTAAATGTCAACTCCCTCTCCTTCTTCTCTACTTCCTCCCCCTGCTCCTCCTCTCCCCTCCTACTCCTCTACTCCACTTGCCTCCTCTTCCTGCTCTTTCTCCTCCTCATCCTGCTTCTCCTTCTCTCCCCTCTCATTGCCTCGCCTCGCTCGCCCTCCCCTCTCTTTCCCCGCACCTAGTGTCCCATCCCTATTAAATATTTAACGATATACTATTCTAAAGAAAAAGTGGCATTCCCTATCCTCCCCTGATCCACCCTCCCCTAATCCCTCGCCTCATCCCTCACCGTCATTTTCCCCGTCTCCCCCCCATTCCCTTCCATTCCTCCCGGTTCTTCACCAGATATAAGCAGTTTTACGAAGAATAGGGGAGACGGGGAGTTAATATATTACACTATACCTTGGCGCCTTCTTCCAGCAATCCGGCACAGATAGCCTTCCCTATGCCGCGCGCTCCTCCCGTCACCATAGCAACCTTTCCTTCGACCTTCATCCCTTTATACGAGCACTGGTAAGGTCGGGTTCTGTGAGCAGACGATTACAGTTCACTCACTACCGCACAGGAGGATCCTCTGTTCCCGCTATAAGAACGATGGTTAGTATGAGAACGGGAGCTACAGCGGGGAGGGGCACCGACGAGGGTACTACTANTTTGCTCATGCTATAAATAAAAGTGTAGGTACTTTCTAACACGGCTGAAACCACAAGCTCGGAGGGCCGGTGTTTTGCCAATGTTACTGGCCCTCCAAATAATTTGCCGGCATATGCCGGTGGGCTGGCGCTATTATCGCGCCCTGCGTCACTCTGCAGCATTAGAAGAGCTGGACTGGCGATCGGAAGCACCGGGAGTTTTCCCGGTGGCCTGGCCTGCTAAGTGACCCCCCTTTTGATAAATCTGCGGCCTGCAGGCCATAATATATATATATAATATATATATAATATATATAATATATATGTATATTTAAATCTGCGGCCTGCAGGCCATATTATTATGGGGGGGGAGTGACGTCACTGTTATTTGAGGTTCATAACAGTATATTGTACTAAGCAGTTGTTGGCTCATTAGTTTGTGATTCACATGCACTAAAATTCACCAGAATGCGCGCAATGAAGTCTTTGTAAGAAATATTTTCCTGGTGGGGGAGTCGTGGACTCGTGGGGGATTGATCCCGGGACCCCCAAACCCCCCACTTAAAAAGTGGCCTGACTGGGGCTATATTTCGCGCTACATTTCCTGGCCTGAATGATTTTCCCAGTCCGGCCCTGAGCACTAGTACGGCTGAAACATGAATTTCCAGAAGGTTTTATTGCTATAAAATGCTAAACAAATTACACTGTGACTTTCCAACTCGCCTCTTAATTTCCCACTACTGGCACAGATAGTCATGTGAGCACTGTCGCTCTGCGGCACTTGTCATGCTCAGCAGTGTAGTAATTTTAATTGACCAAACCTACTCGTGCAGGTTGGATTTGTCATGAGAGATCGTTCTTTGGTAAAACCTGTGTTGCCATACAGGAGCATCATATTCGAGAATTGGCCTGATGCAATAATTTGGATTTATGCAGAGACTATCCAAACTGAAGTTAGATGGAAGTGAACTAGTGACAAATGTAAGAGTTGCAGTAGACTCACGGGCGACCCAAGCAAGAGCAGATGAATCTAATACGAAAACATTAAGGTGAGTAGCAAGTCTTGTAACTGGATGTTGCTGTAATATGCTGCTTTCAACGATGTGCACTGTTGGTGTAGAGTACATGCAGTTCCTAAATTAAATATACATCTTCCATACAGAATGTAAAACATAGAAAAGAAGTACAGCTTATATTATACCAGTGGGGTGCTCAACATTGCTTGGATTCTTTTATGGGTCAGCATCCATTCTTGGCAGCCACTAAGCATAGATATTAAGTGTATGGTTTAATGGTAAGGAAAGGGGCAGTTACTTGAGCAGGGTACTTAAGTGAACTTATAGGACAGTAACTAAAGTGCTATGATTACTATCAAGAGTAGATAATAACACATTAAAAGTGAGCTGGCTTTATTACCATTGTGTGGTGGAAATGTTTGCTTTAGTTCTCCTTTAGCTTGTTGAGATGACCTAAAGCTTCTGATTAAACCAAACTAAACACTTGCCTTGCCCTAAAAATTTAAATTCAATCTCTGATAAAAGACGTTATATATGCTTCACCCGAACGCAACTTCATTCGCTTCTAATGCAGAATCCAAGTTTTGTTGACTGTGATTTCTACATAAGTCATGTGGCTGTGAGTGATTGCCTTTTGATATCCATCATTCATTGATGCCGGTTCTACGTACAGCACTGTAAACACGCCTGCATAGGATCCGGTTAATCACTGATTTAAAGACATAGTTTTGGTGTTTGATAATAATGGACTTTCTTAAGTGTAATAATAAGTGTCCAAACAGCTATATTCATAATGCAAAACTCTTTCCTAGTGGGAAATGGCAGTGTGGGTAATTTACGTTGCTACTTGTATGAAAAAAAGTTGGGCAGGTAAGTTTTCAAGTTTATATGCAGGCTGGGCTGATAAAATATAGCGCACATCCCTTTCCACCATGTATGTAAAATCATGATGGGGCTCTTGCCAATGACAATATATCCAAGTTATCATGATCATTCTACAAATGGGGGTGAATGTCGCTGTTGAGCATTGTGCTAGGCTTGTTTAACACCTGTATGTGATTGCTGTCCTCTAGTCAGCATTTAAGGGTGGGCAAGAAGAGCAGGCATTGCCGGCAGTGGAACAGCAGGTGTTAATTTTATGTCCCGCAGTGTTTGAACAAGGTTGAGGACAGATGTCTCCATCTGCTGATAACTAGGATAACGACATTTAATCTGGGATCTGGGGTCCGAAGGGTGACGCACGGGGGAGCTATATAGGCTGATCCTGTAGGAGGAACTGCACTCTTTTCGAATTTTTATCGTCTAAACCTCGACGAATTCAAGTAATCTGGTCGCTTTTAGAAGTATATTTTAAAAGCCTTATAATAGTTGATGTTACAAATACTGTTTCAGCCAAATAAGACATTTTATCGACTAAAATCCAGGGTTATCATCAGAAATTCTGTTTAGGGCAGACACTGGGTTACTGATTGTTGTTGTGCTAAGCTGTTTTGTGCAGCATGTGCGTAGCACTCGACCTTAATTAGCAGGGAGGCTTGATCTCAAAGCTGGCCTCCCTGACTTGTTAGAAGCTGGTTGCACATGTGTTACAACTTACATTAATTTTATTGATGGTGATTTAAAGTGTCGAGGTTTGGGACAGGCAAGCCTGTTCATTTTTATTAAATAAATTTTGCACAATTATCTGTTTCGCATCCTGAGTTTTGTTGTCATATCAATGTTTATTATCAATTCAATATGAGTAAATGTACGTAAGCTTGTAGTTATTGTAAGGCGTGGTTTTACTGTGTATTTATTCTATCTCATCGACATGTCATGTATGTATTGAAAAACTCATTCGGCCGGTATATAATAAGATAAAATATTGATATTGTTAATTAGATAACGCTATGCGTTTTTTCTATGTGTGTTGATATTAGATGAAGATGGAAGAGTGAACAAAATAAAATTCGTTCTGAACAGTCTTTTTCAAGGAACAGATTATTCCATCCCTGTGTGTTAATAAGTATATTTTTCATCTTATTACCTAGCTAGTCGTGCCAGTCACTCTACAAAGCTAGGTTAAGATTTGGCTCAATAAACGAATATAATTAAATAATAGGCGCGTTCACACTGGCGCGAATAAGCGGGATGCAAATCCCGGTTTTTGCATCGCGATCGAAATACCGAGATTATTACAAGTGTGAACGCAATAATACTCACTAATAATTGCGATCAGCATCGCGCTCCAAATCGCACTTTTGACTGCGATTATTTGGAATTAGCGCGATTATTTGCGTGTGTAAACGCTTGCGCAAATAATCCCGGTATTTTCTATCCCATCATTCCAAGCGAGTGAGCAGTGAGCATGCGCAGTGAGCATCATTCCGGCAGTGAGCATGCGCAGTTTCGATTATAGAATTATCCGCTCCGATTGCGAGATATTTCCGGCCTGTGTGAACAACGACACAATTATCCGTATTTCATCGGCGTTAGCATCGCGGTTTTTTTCTTGCGTGTGTGAACGCGCACTAAATGTGTGCCTGTGTTTGCTGAAGGAAGTCTTTACTTAAAATGTCAGCGCACTGATTTGAATTCAGTTAGTTAAATTTAATAAGTTTAAATTTAACTAAATTTTAATAAATCTTTAAAGCAAGATTAAAAGTTTACTAATAAATTTAGTAAATCCTAATAAATTTAAGGCGCCTCATCAGGGTAACAACGTCTTCGGTTAATATTGGAAATTACTTTATCCAAATTTTCGCTGGCCAACTCATTATGACAGAAACCATGCCTAAAACGGAGCATTTGGAACCCATTCCTACAACGAAAGGCAGACCTGGTATATATTGATACCAAGTTAATTTAAGCCGATTTCACAGTTTAGAATTGGAGGGAATAGTGTTAAATCATCAAGTTAATTTTGGCACGAGTAAGATGTATGAAAATTAGTTGATAATGTCTTAGAACTTTCACCTTCTGTAATGCAACCTTCACCAAGTTCTACCAACTCGTAGTATACGTGTCTTTCCAATTTGTCTGGCCTGGAACTCTAGTTGAATATAGTTAATTTATGTTTTATGTTTCATGCATGGTCACCCGTGTAAAGATAAATCGTAAAACCAATATAAATGTAATTAATTGCGTGGTCGTGTAATTTAGGGAATATTATCGGGAATACATTACGGTCCATTATTATACATAACGGGAATATTACAGGTATTAGTTACGGCGTGATCTTGGCAATAACATACTGTTATATTAGGAGTAGTTGTAGTTATTCATTGGCACAACGGTTATTTTGGCAGAATGTCAAAATGTTAGCCATAGTATATATATCCTACATGAAATACAACAAAGCGAAGAGACTAAAAATGATATATCTTTACTTTGGGAAAATCATCACTTATGTGGTCACCGGCTGTTAAGTGTAGTTGGATAACTTGTCATGCCATCTTATTTTTAAATTGTACAAAGCATATGTAATCTGCATGTAGAGGCAGTTTTTTTTGTCTAACTTCAAAAACTGAGATTGCATTAATTTAATATAAATTAAGAAGGGGTCGCAACACGTCTGCATTTGTAAGACGGATGCAACGCATCATACACACACACAGGCACCACACACACACTGGACACACACACAAACACACACAGCACAGCACACACACACAGCACGACACACACACACAACACACACACACACACACAAACAAGCACACTCACGCCAACGCGACGCACGCATCAACACACACCACAGCCCACAGCACACAGACAGACAGCAGAATTGCTATCTATTTATATTTAGGCAATATGTTGCTGTAAAAATTCTTATAACTTCTTATAATTATTAATATCTGAAAATATAGTTTGAAAGACGTTATAGTTTTACGAATAAAACTGGGTTAAAGAATTGGAGACACCCAAATAGATAACCATTATCTTGTGATAGTGTCCATGTACAGCAGGAAAACATTTGACATATAGGCATGGAATGATAAATCGGTACGCAAG